GCAGAGACAACAGCGGACATACTCACACCACTACTGCAGAAGGTCTGGAAGGAAGGGAAGGTACCGGCAGATTAGAAGAAGGGCTATCTTGTCAAACTCCCAAAGAAGGGAGACCTAAGTCTTTGCAAGAACAGGAACTGGTGCGGAATCATGCTTAACTCCTGTCCACCCCAAGCAAAATATTATGCCGCATCATCCTAGAGAGGCTAAAGGATACACTGGATTCAAAACTACGATCGGAACAGGCTGAATTCAGGAAGTACAAATCATGTGCGGGTCAAATTTCAACGCTACGCTAAGCATAATCATAGAAGAGAGTATAGAATGGCAGTCAACCCTCTACCTCAACTTCATCCACTTTGAAAAGGCATTCGACAGCGTTGACCGGGAAGTATTTTGGCAGTTGCTTCAACACTACGGAGTCCCTCAAACCTTTATGAATCTCATTGAACAACTATATGAAGACGCCACATGCCAAGTAGTTCACAGTGGGAAGCTCAGTGATGCCTTTGGGGTGAAGTGAAGACAGGAGTAAAACAAGGCTGTCTACTATCACCCATGGTATTCCTGATTGTAGTGGACTGGATCATCAACAAACAGTGACGAGCTGTGAGAAGAGGGGGATACGCTGGACCGCGGAAAAGAACCTAGAAGATTTGGATTTCACCGATGACTTGTATCTAGTGTCTTGTGGCACAAACTTGAAGATCTACAGGCGAAAACTAACAAGTTGACAGAAGAGGTGAGGCAGCGAAGGAAGACGGGACTTCAAGTGAATATAGAGAAGACAGAGGTGATGAAGATACCCAACCAACAACAACAACAACAAGCTCCGATCACCATCAATGGGAGAAACTTGAAAGAAGTAGCCTCTTTCACCTATCTAGTCAAAGCAGCACTATTTCAACTACAGGTGGCACAGACGAGGACGTCAAAGCCAGGATCGGAAAGACAAAAAGACAGGCGTTCATTAGCCTGAAACCAGTGTGGAGATCTTCTGCACTCCACTCAGCATAAAGCGTGAGCAACATCCGGATTTTCAACACCAATGTCAACTCAGAGCTTCTGTATGGCTCAGAGACTTGGCGCGTTATGTGAAAGGCATTTCCAGCAAATTACAGACATTCATCAACAACTGCCTATGCTGGCTCGTTACTGAAGATCAGATGGCCAGAATAGTCAGAATAAACAACAAGGAACTCTGGCTGTCAACGAACCAACCAAGCAAGAATCTATTGCTGAACAAATAATAATATGCAGAAGGAAGTGGAGATGGATTGGATTGGGTATACACTGAGAATACCGACTGGGGACATCACGCGTCAGGACCTCAAGTGGGACCCAGATGGGAAGCGACGAGTTGGGCGTCCGACGTGAGGGTGACATGGAGGAGATGGTGTGAGGAAGAAATGAGAGTTTGTAGGCTGTCGTGGAATCAGGTTCAAAAGATTTCAGAGAACAGAGTGCACTGGAGACGTGCTACTGAAGCCCTATGTTCCATTGGGAACCCAAGGGACAAATCATAACAAAATATAGAATGATTGACAAACTGTTTGCTACTCAAACTCTGGAGTACAGCTTTCACTAAATTTTACATTCCCCGGGTGCTCACATGAAATAGAAGGATTCTGATCAAACATGAATGATAGATTGTCGGTCACAATACACTACTGTTGTTTATTTCCTCTGTCCAAAAGTAAACAGTCTAGCGGATACCGATTAAAATATTTATCTAAACAACTTTCAAGTAATTCTTCATTTGATAGATTTTCAAACTGACGAAATGGAGGCAAATAGGATCAAACTTACGACTGATACACCATATCGACTGTGATATACATTCCATAGGCTTCGTACATTGATAGAATAGAATATCAAGTCGATGACAGTGATTATTACTTTGCTGTGTTGTTGGTGGCTGTGGTGGTGGTGAAGAAGAAGACGGTAAAACCAACAAGCTACTATCTTCAACCTAATCATCTTACTCTCCTGACTAATGCTTATCCAAAACTTCAGATTCACCAGCATAATAATGGGTTGAATCTGAGGTTGAGGCAACATTTGATGAATTCTGACAAAAGCTGTATAAATTCTCAGTTCCTTCGCCTATTTCATCGTAAGATGAACTATTGATGACCAATTAGGATAATGAATTTAACAATCAAGCAATTTCATAAATCTAAAGTTGAATAAACCTGCCATCTCCTTTTCATTTCATTTATTATCAATCCTACTATAGTTTCAACCGGGATATCAGTCTTTAAACAGCAAAAATCAGGATCAATAATTCACTGATCACATGAAAATATTTATCAACATGAGAATTAACTCTCTACAAGAACAGATACCGCATATACTTTAGAGTTTTACAAAAGTATGAGGATTCTAAGAAAGAAGAAAAAGGTTGTTGATAGAAAATAAAATGCTCAAATGATTGTGATTAATGATGTATTATTCGTATGACAGACTCTAAGTCAGCGCTCATAAACGATGACTATGATGTAGCCAATACACTAAATAACATGAATTTATGCCACAATATATTCGATGGTAGACATGGCAACGTTGACTGACTGACAAAATCAACGCAGAAACTCACATACAAGTGTATAAACTCAACTTGCCACACTTCACAGTAGTACACAAACACCAGGTGGTTGAAAACAGAGAGAGAACAAACAATCTGAGGATAACGCTTAATGAAAATATCCAAGCTTTACAAGATGTCAAGAAGTGAATATACCTGCACCGACTATCAGCCATGTCACTAAAGAGTCACTAAGAATCCTCAATCACTAACTCATTTCGACTCGGCGATCCCAATGAGGCAGTCTACATCTCCCTACAAAGTCCAGATCAACAGTCAGAGATTTTGTGAAATGGTGCCACTTTTTGGTCTGTGGCCACCCTGAACCCTCTTCCAACCTAATCCAGCTTCCCTTAGAATGGTATGCAGAGGCAGGCGGTGGCTGCACATGCCCAACAAGTGTCCAAGCCATATATCAGAGATAAAAATGTATAACCCCGTTAATGAACTTCGTTTGACCTCAACATTAGTCACACAGTGATCGCACGAAATGTGAACAACGCTAAGAACACCAGTTGACGAATGCCAAACAAACTTTCAGTATCTCACCTGAGATTTCGTCAGTAACCAACCCATTCGAGCCGATGCAAATCACTAAGTAAGTGAAGTGGTCGACACATTCCACCACTTCACTCCCCATCATTAAACTGAGAGTACTTGCAGCACATCACTCCTGGGGCATCTCACATTGGACAGGTGTCAGCGAAACATCCCAGTCAAACATACTCAGATTTCTGTCCAACATGTTCATAAGAACCTGTATTTTTTCAGCGTCTTCCCGTAGCAAGACAATATCGTCTGTATACTCCAAGTCAACTAGATGAAATCAGACGTACCTAAGGTTACTATCATACTGATTGAATTACGCAACGAATTCTTCACCATTCATCATGAGAGAGTACTAGCAATTACCTGGTGGAACGTATACTTTTCGTTGAAGAGATAAGTCACTTCAGAGTAGCTGTAAGTGGGTTAGTAAAGTATGTGTTCTTTGAGCTAGGAATAGACAATATGCAAAAATGTAGTTTTAGAGGCATCCATTTGGATTCCCAAAAAGTGTGTTATTCCTAAATGATGAGCTGGCTTGGACCAAGGCAATATGCATAATGTACTAAGGTAAGGGCTAACATAAAGTTGCATGAATTGTTGAACCTAAGTGAGTTATTTAAAAAGTTATTGGATGGCAATCAATAAAGTACACCAGCTCAAGGATTAGTATCTAACACACCACATGACGTAAACTCAATATTGCTCACTTTTTGGTCCTATCACATTTCAACAATCCTGCAAAAACATCTATGATTAAAGGGCAGTTACATTCTTAGCTTTAAAGGTCACATAAGTCGCTTATCGAATCACATTTTTCACAGAATGACTTGCAGATTATTTCATGAAAGTAAAGTGTCTAGCTCTTCATGTTTCAGAAATATCATGGTAATACCACAATTGTTGGCAAGAAAAACGGATTTGAAACAATCCTTTTTTCGAGTTGGTATTCATCGTAAACTGACATCAGTTGGAGGAACAATGGAAACCTGGGAGCACTGGACAGCCGTTTCGTCCTAGTATGGGTCTCCTCAGCAGTGTACACCCACGACCCCGCCAGGGATCAAACCCGTGACTTTTAGGTTCCGTGGCCAGCACGTCACCTGTGAGCCACTAGGTCGGAATTCAACGGTCCATATTTCCAACTGGTACTCATTGGTGACTAGCTTCGAGAGGTGATTCCAGAAGTTCAAGTGAAAAGTCGTGACCAGTGGGGGAAACCTGGTGGCCGTGAGGACAAATACTCAAGGATGACATTGGGTGGCGGTCGCGCGATGTCGTGAACTGACAGAAGTTGGAAGAATACGGATGAGTAGTCGGTGCATTTATAAGAAATTCGATCCATAAATACGGGATATCTGAAAGTTACCTGTGAGCATCTTGGAACCAAAGTACTTTGAGAGATGAGAAGTCCAAGAAAAACTCCCCGACAACAATGTTGAGAGCAACCAAATTCACTAAATGAAGAAGAATAACCCAGTCAACCACCGTCACGATAGCAAGAAGTTATATTTCAAACTATCATCCACTTAAGAACCTATAAGATCGCTTAGAAAACACAACTGAGCACCTTGAACTGTTCAGTTAGTTTGCTGCACTAGAAAATCTACAACAGTCTGCGATACTCTGTGACTGAAATAGTGCAAATAACTCCTAAAATCTCTGTAGATGATGAAGTTCAAAACCATAGTCGTTGGTCCAATCCACACACTAACATAAAAGCCACTACTTTAAAAACTTAACACGTAGAAAAGAGATTTCAAACTTCAAGAAGCAAAATATAGTCAAATAACAGAAAATGGTGGTCAACAGGATAATCAAACGAAAGACATTAGCAACAATAACAACAAGAAAAGTAAGCACATACTTGTTTGATTACATCAGGTTCTTCTAACTGGCAATCAATAACCACGTGAGTAACACGTATAGGATCATATGCCAAAACTACTTCAGCTCCATGTGAACGCATAACGCGTCTCCAAACAACTTTCTGTGATTCAGGCACATTTCGATAACCCAAATTAACATAACACAACCAATTAAACATTCTTCAGGACGAGAAGGTAAAGGATTACCATCATGACTAAAATATAATGGAGTTAATGGTCCAGCAGGTGTCAAAAGTGTTGATGTTGGATGTGGTGTATTTGTAGGCGTTGAATTGCAAGTGATTTGTCGATTGACCGACTGTACAACTGTAGTGACAGGTATTTGTGCAGGACGTGATGGTTGTCCAACTCCACCGACAGTAACAGATGAAGGATGATTATGCGGTGACATTGGTACAACTTGTGAATGATGTGTAGGACGTGGACTAATTGAATGATCAACATTATTACCATGCACCATATTCGGAGTTGCTGTATGATGATACGGAGAATGTACCGTATTAGTTTGATGTTGGTGATGGTGATTTTGAGCGTGAATTACATTAACAGACGAAGAATCTCCTACAATCATTTGAGTATTTGATCTACCACCAGCAGACTGAGTGTATACCATCTGATGGTTAGTCTTTGACTGTTGTCCTGAAATGATTCCAGCTAAAATAAGAGTAGAGAAAGATTATTGGAATAACTGTGATCAATATTTATGTTGGGTGAAGAAACAATTTTACTGAAAGTCTCATGTTAGTAACACGAAAGTTTTGGAGAAAAAATATTTTTCTATCGATTTCTAGGGTTTCTTAAATTATTCTTACGGAAAAGCAAGTAAGCATCTCGATTTTCGTCAGTGTTTGCCTACAAAAGATACAACTTAACTCCGAAAACAGACATACAGAGATAACAACTCAAAACTCTGCACAGAAATGAATGAGTTCACAACACAAAAGAAAGTGATCAGAAAATGAAATTACAATAGACACAAAGACATGCGAAGAAAAATAAGTGGAAGGTAGTAAAAGTATTCAAAATTTTAAAAATGATAAAAATATTGACATTTGCGTAAATATGACCAGTTTTTAGCCATATCACTGATTCCAAGCGGCTCTGACGACGATGAAGATTGAAATCGATTTAAAGGTTAATTGACCACGAGTCTTCGTAATGATCACGAGTGGTGGTAGGTGATAAAAGCGAGAGAGATGGAAAAAGCATCAGAGCTTGTTAAAACTGCAACTAGTTAGGTTTATAAAGGATACCAGCAAGAAGAAAACGATGGTGAGTGAAAGCATCACCGAAAAGGATGAGAAAATGATAACCTCCCAGGATGGGCACCATGAATATTAAAAGGAAGACTGAAGCACACTTCAACTAGCCAACAGTAACCCCTCAGATGCCCAACATTCAGACGACCTGAACCTGAGTGGCACGTAGATGTCGGTCCATCAACTCCCTTTGAAGTTGGAAAAGCTATATCGAATCTGAAACGGTGCGGAGGAGTAGGACCTGGCAGTTTGCCACCCGACGTTTTCAAGAATAGAGGTAGGAAATAGCTGATCAGAGTGGTGGAGGTAGTAGGCAGTGTATGGGAATCAGAGGTAGTGTAATAAGACTAGTGTATTTCACTGATCATGCCAGAAGGAAGTGAAGTCTCTGTGTGACAACTATGGGGGAATTAGTTTGAATAATATTGTGTCCAAGGCCCTAGGGTGTATAGTTATCAGTTTTATGATGGGGAGTGAAGTGGTGGAATGTGTCGACCACTTCACTTACTTAGTGATTTGCATCAACTCGGATGGGTTGGTTACTGACGAAATCTCAGGTGAGATACTGAAAGTTTGTTTGGCATTCATCAACTGGTGTCACCTGTGATGCCTATTGACGAGATATCTGACTATCTATCAAATGACGAGTATATTCCGTTCCGTTGTGTTTTATGGCTGTGAGACAAGGCCGTGGAAAGTAGAAGATATGAAGTGGTTACAGGGTTTTAATCATAGGTGTGTTCGTAGCGTTGTTCACATTTGGTGGGATCCCAGAGTGACAATGTTGAGGTCAGGCGAAGGGTACTTACTAGGCAGAACAGGCAAGTCGACCAATGAGGTTTTAAGGCTTGTTGGACTGAGATGGTTTGGTCATGTATACTGCGCATGTGCAGCCACTGCCTACCTCGACGTGGTATGCTAGGAGAAGTTTGATTAGGTTGGAGGAGTTAAGGGTGAGAAGACGAAGATATGGCACGATTCGATGAAGTCCCTAACTGATGGTCTGAGCCATGTTAGAAGGTGTAGACTGCTTGGTCGGGGTCGCGCAGACGACAGGAATCAGTGGCCGCGGAGATGTACTCACTCCTTGATGTCTTCTAAATCTTGCATAATCGCACTGACTTCTAATTTCAAATTGTTTGTTCTCTCACACAATTTCGTGTACTGTGATGTTGCTTTTTCCATCCACCTGTTGTTTGTGTACTACTGTGAAGGGTGTCAACTTGAGTTGATACACTTATGTGCGAGGTTCTACGTTTAGTCTGTCCTTCATGTCGCTAAAATTTCTTCAACTATCGACATTTGTGTAGGCTCAATAACATGAGCCAATCAACCTATACACCTCTTCTTCTTTCAGATCAGTAATTAGGGGCTTTTTGGTCTGGTCACATAGCTTTGTTCCAGCTTAATCCTATTTCATTCAGCATCATCCGATGGTATGGATAGAGTAACGCAAGAATCAGAAACCTAAGTCAGCGAGAATTTCAATGTAAACTGACTCCCTTGCCTTTTTTTACCCGGCATTCTATATCTCATTGCAAAATCGTCCTCTATATCATTACTCTACGCATAAAGAATGATATTTTCGAATAGTTGGAGAAGTTTTAAGTGTGATGAAGAGCAAGTACTACATTTTTATCGTGAAAATTGTATGTTAAGTGCAATTATTTGACGAAAGTTATATTTTTTTTATCTCTCCATACGAATATTCATGAAGCAATAATACTACTAAAAGTAGCATATATTTGTACACGTTAATGACTCACATCTCAATTTATCAATTTAAATATGTGTGACGTATTCACCGATCTATGTAAGTAGGAACCTTGGCTTAAGACAGAAATCGGATCATCTGACAAAATGGATACTGGTAGTCGACAAGTGGAAAGTTAGAATCTCAGATATGTGTTACTAGTTATATTACTTTATTTATTTTGAATATCATCTTACTCATGACCTAATTAATAACATCACTGTATAGCTCGGTTCAAGAGTTGTTGATTGACCCCTCTTCCCTCTCTCCTACGACCTATGTATTGGAAATAACTTCATGCTGAATGAAGCCCATTCATTGTTATACATTATCCTATATTTTTTGCTTAAAATCAGTTATTTCATTTCTGGTGCATTATGGTGAAGTAATTTAGTTACACATACAAATGAATGAAATCGCCTAAAAGACAATATGTATTAAACTTTGAGTTCTATCGTAAACGGCTGAGATGGTAGGATTATGTGACTTATAGTGTGGATGAATTGAGTATCCGAAATCAGGCAGGTGTATTTCAGATCAATCACGTTCAAGGTAACCGTTGGTACTGAATAAGTCGAATCAATTACATCCAAACAGTCATAGTAAACTAGCGACTAAATCAACCCAAGAATATAACGGGGTAGGAGGTGTCCAAGCTACTCAATTACAAAGTATGAGTAAATTTTCATTTTGAAAACAGTGTATCATATACAGTATACTGTTCAAAAGATCATATTTAGGTATTTTGATAAATAAAAACGTTGTACGCTATATAGAAGGAACAATCGACAAATGAAAGTGAAGGAAGAATAGGTATAAAGCATAATTGTATCATAGCTGGCAGTCGTCCTGAAAAAAAAAATAATTCCCACTCAATTAACAAAATTGGTAGATGAGTTCGCTGAGGATTCAGAAAAACAAATAACAATACAACTGTTACTAATATTACATTGAACGAGTTAAGGATCATATCTGTCAGTATTCACCAACTCAATTATCCTTTTCTCTACTTTAACTTAATACTTAATGGATAAAAGGATGAAATAAATACCTGAATGAACTTGTTGCGGGTACGTATGAACAGGTTGTTGATGTAATGCTTGCTGTTGTGATCCATGTATGGTTATATTATTGGTCGACTGAGGTGATGGACTAGTTTGAAAGAGAACTTTATTAGTCGGTTGTCGATTAGTTAATTGAGGCACAGCGCGTTGATTAGTAGCCAGTGTTACTAAAGAAGATTGATTTTGATGAAAACCATTGCCAAGTGCATTAGTATTGCCCGAGCATGGTAGGACAGAACGAAGAAGCATTCCACCACTTGCAGCTGGGTTAGTTGAATTTCTTCCAAACTATGAAGTAAAAATTACCACAAAATACAGCACTGAACAATTCGAACAGCTGGAAATTAGCTATATTCAAGTAATGTAAATACACTAGATATTATTTCATGAGTCTAATGGTAAACAATACAACTTACCCACTATATGCAAATCTGTTATCCTGGCTATGTCCCAAAACTCTTGTACTAGGGTTTGTGATAACTGAAATGAGCTCAGCAATCATGTGAACATTCATGCAGTTGGTAATGCAGCACACTTATTGTGTAAGGGCGAATGCTACTACCTGGTCATCCAAACTTTAGCAGATAGAGCAGGATTCGAACTCGTGACCTACTGGTTAAAAGTTGAAAACTTAGATCAATGAGCCACAGGTAACTGTTTGAAGTTTCAGTATAATTGTTTTTATATGATACCGTCGTTGCTTGGACCGAACTAATCGGTCTCTATTAGCATATGGGCTCCTGTGCAGACGCCTCGATATCGCCTGCGTTCTAATTGTATTAACCACTGCTAGCCATGATCCATCATTAATGTTTGAAGTTTCGCATAAAAGTAGAGCTCATACGTAATGACCCACTCAGTTGAATGTCACCAGTGAACAACTTGAGCATAAAAACACCAATCAATCGACAATTATTTTACGAACCATCCATTCACCTAACGCATATATTGACAAGTTAGAAGAAAACGTACAACTGAAGGAATCCGTAAGAGTAGGAGGATAAAATGAAGCAGCTATCCCGATCTACCTGTGATCATAAACTCATAGATGAGTGAAAAAACATTTAATTTTCTTAAAAATGTCCTCAATCACTTCAATCTCTGTTAAAAAGTTCAGATCAATTCACTACCCCTTAGGCTGGAATATTCTCCGACTGCTTAAGTACCTGTCAACATTTTTGAAATGCTCTTAAGTAACATTCATTTCATGGTGTGTTGTGAGTGATGAGGAGATTCAAGATAGTTTCTAGTGAGTTAAGATACAATTTAGACGCGATATCCTCATGTCAACTGCCAGCTGAAATAGGTGATTGAATTGGCTGGATAACCCAAAAAATGGGAATGTAATATGGACTAATACTCTAATCTTTTCGAGTTTAGACAGTAGAGAAGTAAATGAATAATCCACAGTTTAGTAATTCATATTTAAATGAGTGATTTTGAAACAAAATAACTTACTGCATTTGGTATAGATTGATGTTGCGCAGCGATAATCTGTTGTCCAGTCGGTGATTGAAATATAATCTGTTGAGGATGCTGATTTTGATGCGGTTGTTGTTGTTGCTGTTGTGAATGTTGCTGTGTTGCATAACAACTATGAATGGTTTGATATTGTTGTGGAACAGAAGCATTGGCTGGTGAAAGTTGAACTTTCTGCTGCTGCTGCTGCTGTTGTTGTTGTTGGTAGTGTGTAGGATGTGCTGTTAGTGAAGCAGTATATTGATGCTGAGCTTGTGGTTGTTGAGGTTGCTGCTGCTGAACATACTGTCTATTATTCATTGGATGACGCGTTGGTGATGAAGATGACTGTGTTTGGATTTGCTGTTGCTGTAATTGTGACATCTTAGCGCCGACAATATTAGGATGTTGTGATGGTAAATTGGATGGCGATGACTTAACTTGACCTGCACCACTATTAACACCACCACCAGGTGCACTAATGCTCAGAGAATTATTACTAATGCCACTATTATTTGGAGAATGTAGTGCAATATGAAGTTGTATCGATTGTTGTTGCTGTTGTGAATAGTGTTGTTGTGGTGTAGACGAGGTTGTAGTTGTTAGATTACAGTTTGACTGACTAATCTGCTGTGGCTGATGACCTGTATGATTATCAATGATCATAGTAGGCGTGGGTTGTGAGGTACTACTAACAGCATTAATAGAAGAACCAGCCAAATGCTGCTGGTGTTGATGATAATGGTTTGCTTCAGATAACAAGGTTTGTTGGACTGGAGAGGTATACGATGTCGATTTAATTTGAATAAGTTGACTGCCACTACCAACACCTACACCAACTGTGCCACCACCACTCCCACCAGTAGACTGAAGTAATAACTGTTGAGTTATTGGCTGTGAACTACCACCAGTTGGTTTGGTATGCGGATGTGTTTGTTCAATAGTTGAATTATTATGTCCTGGTTGATGATTAGACTGAAATAAATGATTGGATGATTGAATGATATTATTGGCTGACATTTGATGAGGATGATGGTTGTGATGTTGATTTGAATTATTATGGTTGCTTGTCAATAAGATTTCTCCACTACCATCTGAACTAATTATAGTCATATCAGATTGTGGTTCCATGTTGTCATTCTATTAAAGAGAAAGGGAAGTTAAAATATAGTAGGATAAAGTACAACTAAGTTTACGCCACAAATTGTAATACTGAAACATTTGTTAAGCGTACCCACTGCAACACACGTACAGATACATAGTAACACTACTATAGCAAGCATTTTAATAACATACAAGTTACCAAAAGGAATGAAACTTTACGCGTAACTTAGGTATTGGTGTATCACTCGACGTGACTTGGTCAAAACATCTGAAACACCCTCTGCTGGCTAATTAGTTTGAGTAAAATTGAATAGTAACAGATGATTACAGAAGCTCGACTATGGCAGGATTCAAGTCAATATCTGAATTAATCAGAAATAGTATTTTTCAAATAACTAATCATCAATCCCATCAAGACTGGTTTTCAACTTTCTAAGCGCCAACAGAATCAAGTTAACCAATAATGCAGATTAAAATAAAGTCAGTTAATAGACTAAAAACGCTTACAGATGATCCCCTCAGTTTGCCTTCGAATTTATTTGAGGTATAATGACTACTGAAACGCTTCAATTTGTCGAAGCAAGCGATAGCTTACTATGCACTTCCGTGAACCATAGATCACTTCGAAAAACAATTTAACCTCAACTACGTGGTGATTATATTAGGAGGATAATTACTAGTATACATCCAGCTGTAGCAAAAAATTATCAGTAAGATATAATAGTTAGTCAATAAATTACAATAAGGGGTTTAGCGTTATCTAGTGTCAATAAACCAAGTTGCCACGATTCACCTCAGCACAACAAGGTGTAGAAAGCCAATATGAAGCAAGTAAGAATCATAAGGTAGAATAAGAAATATGATATGATTATTATAATGAAGACGATATGTGGATGTATTTACGTCACTGCAATCGATTCTGAGCTGTATTGATTAGAACGACTATGATTAGCATAGAGATGCCACTATGTCATAAAAGTTGTGAACAGAGAGATTTGAGAATGCCACTCTCCCCAAATACTTTTTCAGTTTCCCTTTCAAATTTGGTACTGTAATAGTTCATATCGATGAATGCTGTTTTATCACTTTGACTTTCTTTTATCGGTAACTAGTTGCCAATTTCCTGATCAGAGACCCAGAACTGTCTTGCTGCTAGGAGCGTCGCAAAAGCTTTCAGCTCGTTGATACTACTTAACTCCAAAAATCAACATAAAATCAGCATTTCCTGTTGGGTTTTCTTCACTACCAGCAACGGTAGACGACAACTATCAATCCTCCTTAAAGATATCGCTCTACAACATTTCCTAAACCTATCCCTTAACTTTAGCCTCTATAAGATATGTGGCTATACGCGTAGAAAAAGGTTACCATCTCCTGATGTATCGCCAGGATTTAGCGCCTCACCTTGTCACAATAACCAAAGAGACTTGTAGTACATAACCTTCGTAACGTCGGCTGCATTTATGTGCGGTGTTTTCAAACCATATTGTTATCAGTAGTCGCTGGAGAGAGTTAGTGGAAGATTGGCACTCCTTCTAGAGTAGAAAGTTGATAGAGTACCGGGCTGGTAACCCGGTGGTCGCTGGTTGGAATCTGGCTGCGATCCAAATATTCATTTCACCTTCAATAATCACCCAGTACAGAAAGAAACAGCTCGAAGACCACCTCAAGTACAGGTTTTGTGATGAGAATATTAAAGTTCCTTACAACGAGGAACTGGATAGACAATTATCGGAAAAAGACAACGTCACTTCATCTGGAAAAAAGAATGGCATAATCTACAATCTGCTGCGAAAACAGCACTGGACACAATAAATGACTCTCAGAAAAAGTGTTGGAAAGATTGTCGATTCCAATAGCTTTTTCGGAATTATTAGATGCATGTGAACATAGCCCTTCAGACACTGATCACAATGAGGAACAGAAAAAACCTATTTGTAGGTTGGTGGAGAGTGCGAGCAATGATCGTAAACAGTTATGGGTAGTGAGGGTCACAGAGATTAAGTAAGCAGTGGCGATATGCAACAGTGGACAGTTATTTAGACTTCTCAAGGGATCTGAAGTAAAAGATCAATGGTTAGTCAGTACCGTAGCGGAGAAGGATGGGTTTGCAATTCACTCGCAGGTGAGGTTAGACAGTTTTTGGCAAAGCTCATCTTTCACTTCATCTGAAATCCAGAGATTACAAAGAGTCAACGGTGATTTCTAATACTCGGTCCGGTTCATCCTATATTATTCAGCTAAACAGCGCACATGCGACTATCAACTGGGATCTAGTCGAAAAGTGCGATTCCTGCCCGGGGACTTAAGACTATACCTACGCCTAAAAGACTGCAAGAGCTTGCTAAGAAACCTTTACAAGTCTGAAGGGTGGATTTTGAAGTTTAACCGAATTCACTGGATGCGGTTAAGTATTTATCTCACAAACACGAGATACGTTTATGACTCGAGACGACAGAGTTTTGACTAACAAAGCTTGTTGTCCGATTTCGAGAACGGAGCGGATAGTGAAGGATCCTAAATGTAGTTTGAAGAGTAAGGAAAAGGTTACGATATGGAAGGATAATGGTGACCACAGTGTATTCGGGCCCTAAGATACGAAGGTGATAGACACTACACTACACTGCAGCCCATACCATGGAAGATTATTTCTTCTCGAAAAAGATGAGCAACACCAGCAAGCGCGATCTTGTTGACCTGGATAAGTGACTGCATAACCCAAAGGATATTTGTTTAAAGCCTGTGATACACGGTCAGTTGAGGAGTTGTGAACGTGATTATTTTGTCTGTACTTAAAGAGAAAATCCATACTGCCAGGATCACAAGTACGTGGGTAGGGGCAGCGTTCTCTATTTTTAAGGTGAACCTTATTTGCGTCCCTCTTTTAATTATGGGAGACAGTATCAGCTTGAAATGCTAGCCATTCCCACAGAAATATCTGATTATCATCACATTCAGGAAGCCAACAGTACAAATTCATCTTGCGACCACCAGCATAGCGCAACTTATTTATGATATGATGGTACCTGCTTCTAGTCTAACTACTAACTAACAGATCTTTCTGTCATGACAGAACCTCAAGGGACAGTAGTTCACATCAGCAAAGCTCATCGGATCATTGAGATAGGCAAATCCAAACATAACGTTTATATATAGGATGATTTCACCACTAGTCACTAAGTAAACGAACATTCAGACAATATTGAGGCACCCACATAGGAGCCCATCTGCCAAAAGAGGTCAAGCAATTCAATCTAGTGTAACAACGGGAGATTATAAATATGAAGCTTACTTGTTGATATGGTTGACGGGCAGTACGTACGAATAGAGTAGGCTGTTGAATTTGTGCGGTATGCTGGAAATGTTGAACACTAGCTTGATGTTGCGATTGATGCTGTTGCTGTTGTTGTTGCTGTGATGGTTGTTGTTGCCCTAAATTTGATGTATTAACAGCAGTGAGTATACTACCAGTACGCTGATAAGGATCTATAATGAAGGGACAGTTTACATAAACAATGTTAGGTACAACCATAAAGCACTAATTGATTTCTGTTTCACGCTCTTTAAATGGGTACACCTGCATCTCAACAAACGACCGTTTACGGTTAAAATCGAATTCGATCCTAATCGTAATTCCTAACAAAACACGAAATGAACTACAACCTACAGTTAACTAGTTGGATTCAATGATAACAGTTGAACGACTGTTTGAAAATCAAATACTTTTTATTAATATAAGAGTAGAATTTGGACACTACTGTGCTAGAGCGTCATTTTATTCTGAGCAGTATACTGTTCAGTTACGCTCTTTAATACTGTTTCTACAGCATACTGAAGATAGTAACAAGCTCTTTCTGGATGACTGAAATGTCCTGCTCCAATCACTATATAACCAGTTTTTTCTGGAAGCAGTCATAGTATCCAACTGGTGAGTTCCAAATAGGACGAAATGCGCATCCTGGATTCCACTGCTAGCCACGATCTATCATTACCATCATTAGAGCACAGGTAATATCGAGGCATCCGCACAGAAGCCCATATGCCAACAGAGACTGATCAATTCGGTCCAACCAACGACGGTATAATACCCATCGCACAAGAAGTGGCTATCGTGGCTCGGTGGTGTAGTGGATAACGCTCTGGTGTTTGAGACAGTCGCTCACGGGTCCGAATCCCGGTGGGAACAACATCACTCACCGGGAAGCAGGTACACCCAGCTGACGAGTCCCAAATGGGACGAAATGCACATCCTGGATTCCACTGCTAGCCACTGTCCATCATTACAGTCATAGCATTCTCCTAATAACAGCGTTCTCTGCGATCTTTGTTGAAGAATTTTTTTAAAAGCTAGAAGCGATGACAAATCAAATTACTCTTTAATTAGTAGCAGTAAAATAACTATAAAGGTAGATGTTAAAATAAAATATATAACTAGCTGGGGAAAAAAGGCGTTTTTTCTTATTTGAAATAGAACATAGTGATATAGAGTTGCTTACTGGATGATACTTCGAGCACAAATCACTGCTCATAATTACTTCAATAATTTGTGCTCGAAACGTTATCCAGTAAATAATACTGTATAATTGCATGTTATAGTATATAAACTCATTCAATACAGCAAACTAGTTCTCACTAGTTTCAATTTGCAGAATAACCTTAGTGGTTACATCCCCATGGAGATGATAGTAGAGCTGTGCCTCATTAGTTTAGGTAGTTGACTTTCAACTAGTAAGTCACGGGTTCTAAACTCCCCCCCCCCTCACCCACCTACTGAGGTTTGGACAGCCAGGTAGTATCATCTGCCCTCACAATAGGTGTCGTTCATTGACTACTGAACGGCTGTGTACAAAGTAACTGAGTGCATTTCGGTCTTTTTATTCCCAAAGATTATACGTAAGAATGAACAGTAATCTGAGACAAGTAGGCTTGAATAACTAACCGTTAGATTACCAGGCTGATAATCTACCGTCTTACATAACGCCTCTCAAAGTTGACAAGATTTTAAGCAACACTTGAATACCTAAATGTCTAAGTAGGTTAACAGTATGCAGTGAATACAAAAAAGTTGGTACGAGACAGATGTTTACCGCTTTCTATCTTTCAGTGATATGCTGGTCAACATTCATCCATAATCAAGAAGTTGAAAGATTATAGTTTACATTACTAAACTTATTGATAGAAACCATAAATGTTAACGAATAATGCAACTAAACTTGGCACTTTTTTTATGTGCCAGCTTATGAGCTACACGTTGTGCAACAGTTTAAGATACTACCCCCTCTCCCAGAAGGGGTCCGTACCCGAGGCTCATTGCTGCGAAGTCGAGCACCTAAGCTGGTCAGTTGGCACTACACAAAAGAAATGTAAGAAGAAGAAAATTCAGCAGAATACAGCGAAATATTGCACACAGAAAAACTTTTCCGTTTATTATTACTTACTCTGAACAGGAAACGATTGTGTGTGCAATTGTCCATGTGAAGACTGTTGAGATACACTAGCTACAAGTTGACCACATGGATGTCTTTGTACAATATACGCTGGAGTTCCTGGTGCCGATTGTGGTTGATGCGACGCAAGCGTAGCTGCAGTCAAATAATGTTGCATGCTATTTGATCTTTGTAGTTGTGGTGTGCCTTGAAGTGAATTATTACTAGCTGGTCGGTATTGCATCTGTTGAAGACTACCAGTTAGCAAAACAGAAGGAAGTGCCGAACCAGTACAACCTGCCATTACAATGGATGGCTGTTGTTGTGGTTGTTGCTGTTGTTGAATATGTTGCTGATGAGGTGCTGATAGAGTCTTGGTAATACCACTGGCTTTAGCAGTTTTCGGTGATTTCGGCGACACTTTATGACCCGTGTTGCTTCCAACAGCACGGCATGGTGATTTAGGCGATTTCGGTTTTCGATGATTTCCAGAGGATTGAGATGAACCCAAGCCGGATGAATTGCCATATCCAGAAGTGATAATATTTCCCAAATTGGATGAATTACTACCTTGTGATCCAGAAAATGAATTTAGTCCATTTTGACTGTGTACAGAATTGTTACCAGAAGAATGTGCATCAGAAGAAGCCGCTGAAGAAGAACCTCGACCATGTGAAGACTCCTGTAGTGACATAAAAAGGATATTAAGCACCATACGGGATAATCACAAGAAACATTAAAAATATGAACAATGAAGAAATCAAAACGTTTCAGATTGCTTGAACTTGCCTCATTTACAAAAGAACGAATACAGAATTCACGCATTAGTCACTATACGAGCCTAAGCGATGTAGACGTTTTGTATGAAAGGATTATTTTGGTGTATTTTCAGTTAAGAGATCAGTAATTACAAACAAATGGATCCAATTCAACTCTACAGGGAATTATTCCCATTAAAAGCTCCCAAGTGTCAATGTCTCTGATTGCAGCCATATTTGATGCCGAGTAACGAGTGTCATCAAGTACAAAATCAAACTCTAATTCCCCTGGTTATTTATTATTTGTCCTTTGGGTTCCTAGTGGAACATAGGGCTTCAGTAGCAATTAGCCATTTCTCTTTTCTCTGCAGTCCTCTTAACCTGGCACCACCACTGCCCACAAACTTTAATTTTTTCCTTACACGATCTCCTCCATATCGTCATCCTCGGACGCCCAGCTCATCGTTTCTCATTAGCCTTCTACTCGACGGCCTGGACTGGCCTTGCGCGTGGTCCCCAAATGACCTCAGTGTGTGCCCAATCCATCTCCACTTTCTTCTGCATATTTGTTGGGCGATGGGTTCTTAATTGGTCCGTTGCAAGTCAGAGTTCCTTGTTGCTTATTCTTTCTGGCTATCTGATCTTCAGTAACGAGCGTAGGCAGCTGTTGATAAATGTCTGTAGTTTGTTGGAAATGCTTTTCGTAACACGCCAAGTCTCTCAACCATAACACAGATGCACTGACTTACCTGACTGATATCAGTGTTGAAAATCCGGATCTTTTTCACGCTTTATGCTGAGTGGAGTGCAGTAGATCTCCACACTGATTTTAGATTAGTGAAGGAAGGCTTGTCTTGCTGTATCTCCGATCCTCGCTTTGACATCCTCATCTGTGCCACCGCCTTTAGTTGACAGGATGCTAGCTAGGTAGGTGGGTAGGTGAAAGAGACAACTCCATTTAGATTTTTCCCGTTGACGCTTGTTATTGTTGCTGTTGGTTGGATATCTTCATCACCTCTGTCTTCTCTACGTTCACTTGAAGGAGGTTCTGCCTTCTCTGAGCTGCCTTGCTTCTTCTGGCAACTTGATAGTTTTCGCCTGTAGATCTTCAAGTTTGTGTGTATGGTCATAACTATTTATTGTTTCGTTTAAATGCAGTAAGATGTATTCAAAACTTAACAATAAATAAATATTATCATACTCACTCGATTCCATGTATGCTGCAAACTTAAAATGTTTTTCACATTCTGCATAACAATAGCATCCTTCTCCTCTTCATTCAAATTTTGTTCTTGCATATGTTTGCTGGACTTTGATTTACTAGTCTTTCCATGATGTCCAGTATTGCTGTTACCGCCGCTACTACCACCTGTACTACTACCATTACCACTTAATCCACCAGTAATTGGTGTTGTTATCGTCATCGTACCGCCACCACCACCTCCAATTGTAGTAGCCGGTAATAAACTGTTACTGAACATTATATTTGTATTACTCCCAGGGATATGATTAGCGGAATAACTGGTTCCTGATGAAATAGGATTTCCAAGAGCATCTGTAACACACAAATAAGAGAATACACGTGAAATTGGCAAAACGTAAACGAAAAGTGGACATTTATTCTCATGTAATAAAAATGTTGTTTTAATATTTTCTTTAAAAGGCTAAAGGGATAACAAACACTGCGTATAAACAAACCAAAGTACCATATGACTCAGAAGCGCTTCAGTTTAAGTCACCATACTTTACATTGTCATGCGAAAAATAAGTCGATTGAGAGAAAAGTATATTAAAGCGAAACGAGTATAAGAGAAAACTGTAGGAGTAAAACTTGGGTACTGTGATAGTTTATTTATATTGTGCCACAAAGTGAAATACTATTATTTACTGGATGACGCCTTGGACAGAAATCATTGTCTCCCTCCACCGCACTAGGGTAGTTTTTAATACCTTTGTGCGACAGGCCTCAAGCAGGTGTCTTATGGGCTCCGTAGTCATACACATTTCTTTCTCTTTCAGATACCTTAAGAAAAAATAGCCTTCCATAATGTGAGCAACTGGGAAGTGTCAACCACCAACACGCTTCCAGATTTTGTTGACCCCACAGATCACCACTCCGCACTGGAAATTAGGGAAATTCATATCCAAGTAAGCCATTAATAAGCACACGGATATGACTCAGATTTGAGTTTATGAAAACTGAGTGGTTGGATGCATATACTGCTAAGGAGTCCCAAAATAGGACGAGACAGTTTTTCTGCGCTTTTAGTGATATTCCAGCTGATGTCAGTCTGTGATGAAAACCTTTTTGCATTAATAATATATGTCTAGACTAATCCTCTGACCTGCTCGAATACGTACTTCCCAATTTCGCATACACCAACTTACGCCATCGCAGGTGTAAAGGAGATACCCAACTACTCATCAAAAGACGAGTATACTGCACAGCAGTTTCAGGCATATGCGTTCCACTGACGCTTACGTCGCTGTTGAATCTGTAACTGTTGTCATGACTTTAACTACCTTTTTGTTTCTCCTGAAAAAACCATTCGCTCTGTCCTTACGTAGTATTTGTTGGGAAATAGTGCTTTCAATTATTATGATTCAACAGATAGTACATGTAACAGATAGGTTACAGACGTCTTGCATACTTTGTGTAACTCAAAAAGAGACAAATCAACGGAGAACCCGATACAAAACTGAATCAGTTTCTACACCTTACAGCGACATGCAAGTGAAAGGTGAACAGAGAAGGAATGAAATACAGCAGGCAAAATTAAATGCGAAATGAGAGAATAAACAGATGAAGGCTACTAAAAATACACAAATTTTACTAATGGCAAAGATTGTATATATCTGTGAAGCCAGGTAATCAAGTAACCATACAATTCGGGCGCTGTAGTAGTATAATTCCATGTTAGATTAGTCTATCTGATATTGCGCACAGTGATGCGATATTATTTTTATGGCAAATAGTAATAATAATGGTAATGTCGAATATGGAATTACGTAACTATGTATCTATTAGTATTACGTCCATCCAATCCCTGGGAACAAGAGAGCAATGAATTCCAACCTATCGCCTGAATTTTTTTTCTTAGGTCAGTGGGGATTTTATGCTTTAGGTAGCATTCATCACGGACTGACTGACATCAGTTGGAGAACTAACGAAAACCTGGAAGTACTGAACAGCCGTTTTGTCCTAGTATGGGACTTCTCATAAGTACGCACCTACGACTCAGCTAGGGATCGAACTCAGGACATTCGGTTTTCACGACCAAAGCGTTAACCATTCAGCTTCGAGATGGATATCGCAAAGTTCTAATGAGAAGCCATGATCTGTGGGAACAACCAATCGGATGAAATGTCGATGCCAAATGAAGACCTTGAGTGAAAGCCACTGTATATCGCGAATTGAAAGAAGTAGAAGACTGTGAACCATTGAACTCTGAGCCAGTGGTTGAATGATTAGGGCGTTCACCGTGAAACCTGAAGGTCTTAAGTTCGATCCCTAACTGGGTCATGGGTATGCACTGCTGAGGAGTCCCATACTAGGACGAAACGACTCTTTAGTACTCCCAGGCTTTCGATAGTTCTCCAACTGATGTCAATCAGTCCGTGATGAATGCTACCGTAGGCATAAAATTCCCATTAACCTATATATATCCTACTCTACAAAATGAGGAAAACTTATTGAGCGGAACAAGTCAGCTTAACAACCACTTGCATGCTTATACCAGCTAGTAACGAGCCATACTTATTGTGTACAGTTAACAATACTACCTGGCCACCCAAACCTCCGTAGATGGAGAGCGATTCAAACACTCTTGACCAAGTGGTTGAAAATCGAGTCTAAACCAATAAGCTACACCTCCACAAATGAAAGAAGTAGTTCACATCTAATACGGGAGGATGAAAGGCTGAAATCATGTATATGAATGAGCTTCCATCAAACAAAACATATGATGAAATAACAAATATATGGTTCTTGAAGAAAATAAAAACACTGCCCGAATGTTTCACCGTAATGGAACTAGCATCAATAAGGTTTTCTGACTTGGACATGAGATGATCATAATTAAAGCATAGAGAATATCAGATAACTTACACTATGGATGATATACTTGTAATTCTCCGCTGTTTTATTGAATCGAATTTTTCGACCTCTATGGGGATAGGGGCTCCTATGTAGATGCCTTTATATTACGTGAATGTTAATTGTGGCGACTTGTTTGGTTGTGGCTAGCAGAAGAATCCCCGACGCGCGTTTCGTCCTATTTGGGGCTCGTCAGCTGGATGTACCTGCTCTCTAGTGAGTGATGTTGTTCCCATTGAGACTTGAACCTCGTACCCATCGCTTCAAACACAATGTGAACAGTATAACTCACTGGAGTGCAGGCATATCCAACTGACGAGTCCCAAATAGGACGAAACGCGCGCCCTGGATCCCCTATGCTAGCTACAACCAACCAAATAACTGACATTATGTCCTAAACTGTGTGTATTCCTTGCCTTACTATAATACCTACCTAGAAGAATACAAAATATGTCTAGTAAACAACGGAAAGATGACTTGGTCAATTGTTATTTGTATATAATATTATGTCAATCATTTGTCCATTTTGCTGCTAAGCACAATAACTTTTCAGTTATGCTGATATACTTCATACACTTTGAATTGCATAAACAAACTGGTTTATATGATAAAAGGTTTAAAAAAGCAGAAACAACATCATATATTGACTTCGATATTTTACAGTTAAGCGCAGAACTTATGTAGGCGTAAATTTTCAATCCCATAACAACAACGAGAATATCATATACTTACCAGATCCTGCAGTTTGTTGCATCATTCCTTGCTGGACTGTTGAGTCAGTGTATATTGGTAGACCAGATGGAAAACGCTAAATTAAAAACAATATATAGATGTGAATAAATTATTCGCATAAAAAATCGAAACGGAAAAAACATTAAGAACACATGGTTAGTAACTTTTTACCGACAGCTTCTATAGCCAGATCAGTACTAGTAGGAGAAAAATATTGAAAATTATAGAATACTGGCTAACAAGCAAATATGATTGCTTTTAGAAATGAATCTACGAATCTGAAGGTTATACAGCAATCAAGTGAACATCCTAACTACTGGGAGTGATTTCAACTGCTGACACACGTTACTGTCTTGGTTGTATTGTGTTCTCTGAGTTGGGTTGTTTAATCGTGGAGTTTTCATTCTCTTGCTAGACGACATCTTCAGCACTTACTTCAGTATGAAGTGAGCTGTCAGCATCTCTCCGTGAGTGATTCAGTACCCAGCCATGACAAACTGGTTTGTGATTGGTTGTTTCCTTTGATTGTTGTGTCATTGACTGTATAGATTTTCTTGTTGGCTGTTCCTCTGCTTGACCTTTACTACTACTAAATCACACACCGAAAGATATTGACAGCTCACTTCATACTGAAGTTAGTGTTGAATATGTCATCTAGAAAGACGATGAAAGCTCCACGACTAAACAACCCAAATCAGAGAACACAATACAACCAAGACCATCCCCCACCTGAGCTATAACTACTCTCCAACACGTTACTATTTTCCTAAAAGAAACGGTGAGGTGATGAAAAATCAAAACTTTATGTCAACTGTTCTACCAGTAAGCGGTTTCCATACTCCAGTCTCAAGCGCAAATATCATTTGTAGTGTTATTGTACATTCAACCAACTATTACCTTGACAGAACTTCAAATATTTTCTTTTCTAAAAACTTTATATCATTTGTTATCAAAAATACAACACATGGAACTGAAAACTAATGGAACGGACGAAATTCACTCGGCCATTTTTTGCACATCTGTCATGTACTAGGCAATGAGCCACAACTATTGTGTGACACTACTTGGTTACCCAAACCTTGATAAGTGGAACGGGGCTGGAACCCATGACCACAACAAAATAATGCAGTAAACATTGGCCTCATTGAAATGGGAGAATGGCTACTTTTTCAAGAATACATCCTGCGACTGCATTTCTATATTCAAGTGAAAAAGCAAAAATCTCATTCTGTATCAGATAACTTTCATAATTTAATGTTATTTTATTGGAAAAAACGAACAAGTGCACCACAAAATAAGTAAACTCAGTACAGGTTTATGTTCTAAGCCGTAAGTCATATTTAGTGTTTGTGAGCTTACGATATTAGTCAGTTATTCAGATCACATTAGGTAAAAAGGTGTTTGAATTGAAAATCTACTGCTTTAAAGTATATTGCCCAGACTAATATGCAGTTTATTCTTGAACTGACATCGACTGAGGTAACTACAAACAGGAAGCAACAATGTTTACCCAAAAGTGTAATAGTAACCAGATTGAGACTAGCCTAGATAAAGTTAAAAAAATGATCTGAGCAAGACATCACTGAAACCCAAGTACTAACAGCTTATTCTTAAAATGATAGTAATAAGAGGTGATAGAGTATAAAGGAGACGATCATAGCCGATAGTATTTCGGTTACGCCCAGTTGAAAAAAAAACCTCGAAATTATAAAAACCAGCTCATATTATCCTACTACACTTGTCGTTTATGCGCTGTTCAAGTAATCAAAACTACTGGATTTTTCGTTGTTTCGAAATTATGCACGAAGTTGAACTACGGCACTTTTGTACGAGACTCTATGTTTTTCTGTTTCTCTATCTCTAAAATCAAGAGAAATAAAGCGTTAGTGAGTCATATTTATGTTAGCTAACTAAAAGATTAGTGACAAAACAAAGACAACATTTCAACAATAAGTGACCGTGTCAAATGTTTTCATCTAACCTGATTAACACCACCATGAGCCCGATTCATTGTAAAGCGTTGAGGTGGTCCAACCCCTCCACCACCAGAACTCACATTCTGAGCAACTGGATAACGATTTGGCACAGGTGACGAAACTGGGAAACGTTGTTGTTGCTGTTGTTGTTGACCACTACCACGTAATTGGTCTTGAGCTGCTTTCTTAGACGAACCACGACCTCCGCCGCGTGAATGCCCTCCTCGACCAGGTTTACTCGGAGGCATTGGTGACAATCCGTCATATACAACTTTTTGATCGATTGGTTTCACATTCTAACAAGTATAAAGTGCAACAAAACACCAATGAAAACGAAGAATCCTAATAAAATCCTCGATATTGTTTCCTATAGTCTTACACAAGAGGAAGCTGGATTAAGTTGTAAGAGGGTTCAGGGTGACCAGACCAACACCTGGCACTAGTCGATGAAGTCTCTTGCTGTTGGTTTGAACTGTGTAGAGAAGTGTAAACTAACTAGTTGGAGTCCCCGAGACGACAGGAATCAGTGGTCGAAGACTCTTGGTGACATTGAAATTTCGATAGTGTAATTAGAAGACGAAGTTTATCTGAGCAATGTGATGTATTTGCGCAATACATTTCGAACAATCTGATCACACATCACATTGCTCAGATAAACTTCGTCTTCTAATTACGCTATCGAAATTCATAAAAGGGACATCATTGAAAGTCGGTCACATTACCACAGATGTATTCACTCCTTGACATCTTCTAAAACTTGGATATTTGCACTAACCCTTACCTTCAGATTGCTTATTCTCTCATACAACTTTGTCTACTTTGATATCATTCTTATTCTATCCACCTGTTGTTTGTATTACTACTGTGAAGTGTGGCCACTTGAGCCGATGTACCTGTACGAGTGGTTCTACGTTAATTTTGTCAGTCATATAAGGTAAAGAGGATGAGGCAAAAAAGAAAACATCAGAGAGAACAAGGAACTAATGAAGGACATATTAGATAATTGGACAGAATACCCACAAACTGGACTGCAATAGTGTTTATACGAGAGAGTAAATCATCATAACAATAAAAGTACTGATGTTATGCCAGTATCATGAGTCGAAAGAGGTGACTGAAGGCAGCAGAAAAACTGGGTTATGGGAGTCTTCTTAAAAAGCAGTTTATGGATAACTAACCTAATTCTATATCAATTGAGCTACCAGATCGCGTTTCTAATCAAGTCTTTGAACTGCTGAAAGGTCAAGGAAATGATTACGAAAGTGAAGATATTTTATTTGTAACCAAAAATTTCACAAACTATTTCTTCAGGAGTGATCTACACTGATATTTTACCTAATACAATAAGGAGTGGAGTGATTGAGCGTCTTGTTCACTTTACTCACACCAATTCTGGTGCGTTGGTGGCTCATGAAATCTCCGTATCTTTATAAAAGCCTTGAATGAATTTCTCCAACTTACACCACTTACGTATTTCATCGACTTTTAAGGGTTGAGTCTACTGTGGAGCAGTTCCTATCCCATGGCAGTGACTTGATAATAGCATAATCTGAGTGTAACGCGACCATCATGCAAAAAATATCAGATACTAAGACTGTAGACTTTTACTGACCGAGATGCCTGTTACGCACACCAAACCAGAGTCTACCCTATATCAGTTGTAGTATAGCTAGATTAGCAAAACTTTAAGGGTTGAAGTGGAACTTTAGAACCACGTGCAAGCTTCGATTACTAGTCTGGGCTGTGTAGGGTAATGTAGACCTCTTTGTTGATGTCCATAACACAACCAAAATCCATGACAGAAGACCCCAAGTGGCTCGAGATTAACAGTCATGCCCAATAGTAACCTAGACCTTATCTGAATATGATAAATAGTAGCTTTCTATATCTTTATTCTTTCCATCTGCTTCAATCCATCTTGTGGCCTTCCTCATCCGATTGTGGTAACTCAGTATTCACTTCTCTTTTGCCCCTCATGTCAATCTTCAAAAGGATATGATGGTGTGATGTGTGGCAAATTTGTCTCTCTTGCAAATATCTGATATAATTTATTTGCAACCTTTCCAAGGAAGAGTATTAGAAAAATACGTAGGGCGGTATAGACTGCAATCAATCAAACGCACGAGAACTAAAACTTTAATGCGCAATCGAAAGCCCAGGAGAACAATATAATCGATTAACTATTTGCACTCAACATATGCCTATCTCCAAAACCCAGATTAACTAATGGACACAAAAACCGATATGCTTAGTGTACAAATTGTATCGTTTAATTACTTCAAACTCCTGTTCACGTGCAAGGCATGAAACGCATAATAATATGAATAAAAATCATACAATTAAAAATGCACAGTTAGTCGACAGTAAGACCAACAATCATAAGGCTGCCTAAAGCTTCTTATCACTGTATGTAACGGTGGTTGCCGACGATTGAGGAGAAGCAACTTTATAGTGGAATATGTCACAACAAACTAATAAATTCATGTACATGTAATCAAAAGGATTAAATGAATATTTTTGTCGTCTGCTGAAAAATCGTCATGAAGTGGTTCGTCTATGTTCATATTGAAATAGTTTGGAAAACAGAAATAATAAACTGAGTCGATACTAACACAGACAGACAAACTTAACACAGAATCTCGCACATAAGTGAATCAACTTAAGTTGCGACACTTCACAGTACTACATAAACAACAAGTCGATAGAAAAAGACTGATATTAAAGTAGACAAAGGTGTATGGGAGGAGAAAGAATTTAAAATGAAGGTTAATGAAAGTACTTAAGTTCTGGAAGACATCTAAAAGTGAATATATCTGCACCATCGTGACCAATTTCCAGCTATGTCACCAATAGTCTCCAGTCATTGATTCCTATCATCTCGAAGACCACAACCAGTCAATCCATATCACCGAACACGGCTAAAACCAATAGTCAGAGACTATATCCACTGGTGTCACATCTTAGTCTAGCCACCCTGAGCCTTCTTCCAAACTAATCCTACTTCTCCCTACTACTAGGCCGTGCCTCTGCATGCGAAACATATTTAAACCATCCCAGTCAACTTGTCTGTCTTGTCTTGTACCCTTCGCCTGACTTTAACATTGCTCATTTGATGATCTCACCTAATGTGATCAGTGCTAGGAAGACACCTGTATAGTATCTTCATATCTTCTACTACCAACAGTTTTGTCTCACAAGAGGATAGAACGAGAATAGTCAGTACCCTATTCAGTTGCTCAAATTGAAGAAAAGGTTAGTTCATTTTAAGTGAATAGAAGGCGAACATCTGCATCTTTTCATAAGCATCTTACACTCAAGTTACCCTAAAGTTGTCTCTTAACAGTAACTTTAACTATTAAACTTTTCCAGTCAACATAATTCCAACAAAGATTATACAATAAGTTGACTATGTTTCACTTGTATCACAGTAAAATCAAACTGAACACCGTCCATAAGTGCATATAAGGCAAAAAACTACACTTCAAATACTACATTCAATAGAAACAGCAAGAGCAGAGTGATCATATAACAGTTATTATATTAATACCCATCTGTTTACACCAAAAATATACAGGATGACTTAATGCCTCATCAAAAAAAAAGTCACAAGAACAGAGTTACTAAATTTAGTTGTTAAGATGTAAAATATTTAATGAATGATTAATGCACTTTTAAAAGTAAACTATGCAACTATTCAATAAAAAATCTTTATATATACAGAAGTAAACAGGCTGAAGCGAAAAGGCGTGTACAAGGTTGTTGTGGTAAAGTAGAACAATTTTTATACTCCTACGTTATACTGGGGATAAACTGACGTTAACATCTTACAAGATATTAAGTATTAAATATAGTCATTTCAGCTTTTTGAATGCCTCTACCATTGAGATCTTTATCTGTCCACCTCCAGTTCTGTTGATATCGTACTAATCCTAATATGAAGTGTAGTAAATCAATTTAACATCAATTTCTAAATTGATCCTCTTTCTGATTTATCGTTCTGGTGCAGTCTTGATCCATGCCTCAACACAAATGTACAGTTGTTATAGAAAAAAAAAAGAGGTAAAATACCAATCACTTGAATATCTGAGACTAGTATTTATACTGGTTGATGATTGAAGGTGAAATGAAAATTTCAACCACGGCCGGATTCGAACCAGCGACCACCGGGACTTCTGGCCCGATTCCCATTCACATGGTAGTCAGGAAAAACCCTTGGTGAGTGGTGAGGGGAAATAAAAACTTGGTCAGTAGTCGGATCTCGTAGCTCAGTTGGTAGATTATCGGGCCAGAAACCCGATGGTCCCTGGTTCGAATCCGGCCGTGGTCCAAATCTTCGTTTCAACTTCAATCATCATCCAGTATAAAAAATACTAGTCCGCCAAACCACACACAGCTATCTCAGATAGTCAAATGATGATCAATATGATCCTCCCCTCCTCACTAATTCAGTTAGATTTCGATTGGGATGAGAAGTCCTGACTGATTGGGCAGCCAGTGTGAATACGAACAAACGGCAGTAACGCGTCACGAATTCATATGGTAGCCGGGCAAACTCCTTAGTGACTGAAATTAACTAGAAATTTGGTCAGTGGTCGGACCTCGTAGCTCAATTGGCAGAGAATCGGGCCAGAAGCCCGATGGTCTGTGGTTCGAATCCGGCCACGGTTCAAATTCTCATTTCACCTTCAATCATCACCAGAATAAAACAGTAATCATCGCTTACCAATTGTTGGATACTAATACCAGTTGCAGCTTGTACATTCGTCCCACCTGACAGTACTGATGACAGCTGTTGAGTAGACTGTAGTGTATGAATCATTTGGTTACTTTGTAACAGGTGTTGTTTATTTGTAGTGATTTGTGATTGAGGTTGCTGTTGTTGTTGTTGTTGTTGTAAAGTGTTTGCACAACTCAATATACTACTAATTGTAGCACCAGTATTATTGTTAGAAATAGCATTTACATTTACAAGGGTAAGGGAAGTAGTGGGAACTGCTAGTGCGAGTTTAACATGATTATCAATACTATTCATCACTGAATCATTACTTAATGTAGAGCTGATGATTAAATTTGATTCTTGTTTTGATGAATCATTTACTTGAATATTATTATCATTATTACTATTTATAGTAGTATGGCGCGAATCAGTTTCCTTTGAATTACTTGGCCGGTGTTGTTGTAACTGTTTTAAAGAGGTTTGTTTAGCTACTGGCAAAGGTGGTGGTGTTGGACGAACTAATAAATCGGGATGATATGATGTACATGGCAGTAAATTCTTTTGAGTTAAACAATCTATAACCCAATCAGGCGTAATTAGAACTGGCTTTTTGTTGTCTTCATTTTCGGTGCAATCACTCATCAACTTTGCAGTACAATAATCATAAAAATTCTGCAAAAAATAAAACAAATGAAAGGGAGAAAATAATAAATATTATGCAGAAAAATTCAACCAAAAAATATGAATATCAAAAGTACTTTCGATGTAGCAAAGAAAAGGAGTGAAAAAATGAACCTAAGCCTATATGACCTCTACACATACATTATGTCAGCCATGAGAAAATCAGACCAGGAAACCAGTTCATGCCATTATCAAGTATTGCTATTTGTCCATGAAGTAAACTTCAGATTGCTCAACTCAATTCTTACAGATAGAAGAAACTGATGATTGATAGATGGATACAAGATTGAACACAGCGGTGAAAACACTTTAACATAGGAGTAAAACTTGGGCACTGTGGTAGATTGTTATTTCACTTCAGTCTGTTTATTAGAAATGTCACACAGTGAAGCGACAGTATCGCTTACGAGATAACATCGTTTCGGAGACAATTTATTGTCCATATTCATATCAGGTAACCAACTCCACAACTTTGAGACAGAGTTTATATAGTCCTCATTTTCTCTCCTTCTTTGTGATGACAAGGATAGTAGAATGTTCCATGTATCTGGGACAGGTGTAGAATCATTTATATTACCACATGTATTTGATGTTGATTCGATAAGCGAGCAGTCGGTTATCAATCTCTCCCTCTCTCCAACCAACTAAGTTAGTTTGCAACTCTGTCACTCGATCCCATCCTACTGTGTGATTGTGTGTAATTGCGTGCAGAATTACAGCCGGGCTTTTCTGTAAATTTCTTATCAGGATCTATTAATCTTGATTCAGCTAAGCTTTCGTGCGCTATTATCCCAAACAACCCTGGCTGACTACTTTCACCTATGTATTTGATCTCGCAATCACTGTAAGGGATTCGGTAAACCAGATTATTTTGCTTAATTGCATCAATAGAGCCTTTAACCCTGGAAAGATTGTTTTTAAACAAGTTTGTTGGTTTAAATGCCACTTTAATCCAGGCCAGCCCTATCGAGAATTCTTCGTAATGCTTCTGAGATGTCTTCCTTGTATGATAGTACAGTAGGGGCTTTGAATTCTCTCTCAACCCTGTCACCATTAATACCACTAGTAGTAGAATTATCATAAATAACACCTGTATTACTACTACTACTACCATACTACTGGTAATATTTTTTTTCGATTTCTTATGAATTTATCGATAAATCTAGGTAGGTAGTTGTTGAGACGTAAGCTATTCTTGCAGTGTCTAATTTCTTGTTGCAGATTTTCTGGCCTAGTAGTAAATTTTGCTGTCCTATCACACAGTAGGATGGGATCGAGTGACAGAGTTGCAAACTAACTTAGTTGGTTGGAGAGAGGGAGAGATTGATAACCGACTGCTCGCTTATCGAATCAACATCAAATACATGTGGTAATATAAATGATTCTACACCTGTCCCAGATACATGGAACATTCTACTATCCTTGTCATCACAAAGAAGGAGAGAAAATGAGGACTATATAAACTCTGTCTCAAAGTTGTGGAGTTGGTTACCTGATATGAATATGGACAATAAATTGTCTCCGAAACGATGTTATCTCGTAAGCGATACTGTCGCTTCACTGTGTGACATTTCTAATAAACAGACTAAAGTGAAAACACTTTCGATGATTTTTGACCATTCAAACAGATATTCGATGTATATATTAGTCACTGGATGATTTCTAATCAAGTCATGAAAAGTCCTTGTATGTGTAACTAATATTCTCATTACCTATTCCTACCCCATCCCACTGTTATTGATATTATAATCCTATTTCTCCTGAGTTTTTGGTGGGTCTATGACTCATTGATTTAGGCAGCTGACTTTCAACAGATAGATCAGATGTTCAAATACCATTCCATCTCGCACGGTTTTGAAATAGTAGAGAATATTTGTAGCTCAGATGGATGGTCTTGGTCGTATTGTGTTCTCTCAGCTAAGAACACAATACATGTAGAACCGAAATCGAAATGCACTCAGTAACCTTGTACACATTTGTGCGGTAAGCAATGAGCCACACCTACTGTTTGAGGACTAAAGTATTATATAATTGAAAATAAGCATAACTTAACACTTTACCTCTTTGGAGACACTAAAGCTATAAAATAAGAGGTCCAAATTGACGCAAATGAATCCTAAGACTTAAGTAGAGTGAGAATAGTTTTAGTAGAATAGCGTCGTTTTATTTTACTTCAGGGTTTCTCATCCACTGCTTACAACTTAAAACAATTTTAACATCAATTTATACAAAATGTTTGCATACTTGAATCAATCTGATAGAAAGTTATTGACTTGAGAAAAAGGAGAAAACCCATATGAAGGTACATGAATTGAGTGAGTAAATATACAAGAACTAACAGTAAGGTTATAATATAAATCTCTCTAATTCAAGTAGATTTGAATTTGGATGAGAAGTCCTGGGTGGGAAGCGATAGTTGAGTGTCACAAATCCACATGTCAGTCGGGCAAAACCTTCGGTGATTGAAGTGAAATAAAAATTTGGTCAGCACTCGGGCCTCGTAGCTCAGTTGGTAGATCACTGGGCAGGAAACCCGGTTATCGCTGGTCCGAATCCTATCACGCCCTACATTGTTACTTCACCTTCAATCATCACCCAGCAACATAAAATGTGTTTAAGACTAATTAAATTCTAGATCGGTTCACAGGTAAAACCTTTGACTGTAAAGGTGAATAAAATGGACCGGAAATTTCCGAGAATGTAGATCCACCCTCTGAACTGTAAGTATCACTTGATAATAAGAAGAAACAAAGACAAAATCTAAGTTTAAGATATCGTAATATAAACATCACTTACAAACTGATCTTTATACTAAGCAACACAAACAGGTTAAATTGACATTTCGGTTGGCTTCAAACGACCAGGGTGCTAGAGAATATTCGTGGTACAAGATGTGAATATTCAGACTGAATTATTCTTTGAGTTGAAGTTTTGGTTGGCAAATACCTGAATATTATACTAGACATGGTCATCAGTGTTTCACAAGTAAGTGAAGTCAACTGAATTCGCACAGATGTTTATAACATAGTACTCGTTCGAGTGACTTCATGAGTGCGTGGCGCTTTCTGAACGTTTTGAAGCACTGACGTATTGATGACCATGTTTAGCATGACAAATAACTAAAACTATGCCTCAAAGAATAGCTAAATCCTACCAGAAGATAGAATGTCGAAACTGGATTAAGGGGAATAAATCAGTATTGAAAATGAAATATATCCAGGTTATGATGAAAAATGCTTTAGATCACTCTGTTGATAAGAATAGTAGTTTGTAAATCATGAAGATAGTATTAAACTTTCCTTTCTATTGACTTTGGAACCGTAGTTGAGTGAAGTTCAACAACACTACGAGAACTAGAGGGTATACATATAACTTACATATGTACAGAAGTAGTTCAAAGATATTGGTAACACAATAGGTATACTGCTTATAGCACATCCACTTCAACAAGGTCACGGATGCGACCGCATTTTTTTTCTATCCGTTTTTTCTGTTCATGGTGCTGTAAAGTGCACGGACAAGAAGTGATGCACTTCAATGAACGATTTTGCGCCGGCAATTCTAGCTGCTCATATTTAGTTTGTTTAGTAGGATATTATACATCTTATTTGTAAAACAGACAGTTCCTGTGAGAAAATTCAGATAACCTGAGTCGTATACAGGATATAAAATATCGTACGACAACTCCAATAATCAAATATTTACCACTTATACCTACTTTAAACGAGTGTGATGGTTCCTAAGCCATTAAATTATTCCTGGAAGTCACAGAATATGACTTTTGCCTACTGCAGTTAGGCAGCTTCAATAAAATAATAATTTGTCCAAGGTAGACAGCAAGAACAACAGTGAAGTATTGTGCAAAAATTTTTCGGTCTTCATATAAACAAAGGAGATAGAATGGTATTTCATGAACAAGTAGCATATAGTAGATCCATTAATCCATGGGCCGCAGACAATGACAACACACTGGAGCTGTAGCTCAGTGGTTTAGGAAGATGGCTTATCAACCATTGGGTCACGAATTTGAACCCCGATCCGGGCAGCCAGGTAGTATTACTAGCCTTCACACAACAAGTATGACTCATCATCTACTGCATGGATGTTCACAAGGTGGCTGAGTACACTACAATACACTAGATGGTAAGAGGACCTATATAACAGAAGTACTCTCAAAGATGAATTTATAATCAATAACAAAATGAGGTTGTAAGTTCGGTATGAACTGAAGCTTAGTAATTCATAGAAATGCAAGTAGGACGTAACCCTTGCTTTACACTAAATACAACTGTCAAACTAATTTCAGTGAAAATATGTACATAGCAGATGGTTGTGAGTTAGTATGATAAAGATAACTTTTGCATATGATTTTTACTGACTGATAGCCAATGAGAAACTTTACATAACCATAACAAATGGTATACCAAATTCCAAACCCTTTCAAACTGTTTTAAGTAACCGTTAGGTCTCTAATTTATCAAATGAATATGAACAGAACATCGTATATTAGACACATATATGCCAAAATCTAGGAAATTTATGCTTCCTTTAATGATAAAAAAAACAGTAATCATATATGCAATCGAAAATGCTACTATGAGACTCAGTAGTAGAAAACATCAAGCAACCTCTCTTGTTTGTTTATAGTCATTCAAAATAGATTTCGAAACAGCCTACAGCCTCGTTAGTAAAACACAAAAAGTGAAAATTTTAAAGGCTACTTACCCCTGCTGCCTTAGCAACGACTACATGAGTCACGGACTTATCCAAATAATGACACATGTCACCTCCATGTATAATAACATGTGCCCATATAGCAAGGCGATCAGCTACACTCAACTAAAATTATCATAGGATCACGACAAAAAATAACACAACATACTCCGCTACATGTAATAACCGTCCCTGCAAAAATTTGTTTGAAATCTGGATGGAAAGGACGAAATCTGTAATTTTTCATTGAGAGATTAGTAAAACAAAAGCTTACGGTAAGAATTTTTGCGCTTCAACAGAAAGTTTCACCCAACGACTCTAGATTAGATAATGAAAACTTGAAATAAGGCATTACAGTAACAACTGGGACAGCATAGAGTTCTTCTGCTTCACCAACTTCCACAAGAGATGGGTCATCGCTGATAGCAAAACGTACACTTTCTGACAAGAAAGGATGACTCACTGCACCCAACGACTTCAAAAGATCTACTACCTATATATCAAGTGAAATAATATAATAAACAAATGAATGCAAACCAAATTCGAAAACAGAAAAACAATTATCCCACGTATTCCTAATGGTAATATGATTTATTAATGTATTTTAAACAGACTTAGCACAACAGGGGAACTAACAATGAACCGCAGGCGGCATAACTGGCGAATTAAAAAGACAACATTTGCCGGATTTTATTCCATGGAAAAGTAAATCTCTCACTTACAGGTACTTCTATAGATAAGACCCATGCATGTTAGTCATCTTTGTTACCTCAAGCTCAATTTCAGCAGGGGTTTACATACAGCAACTTGAATGCCCCAAGCAATTCAACTGAGCATAATTTATCATTTACACGATCACTGTAGTCAGATTTACATGGAAAGAATACCAATCGATATCCTAATACTGAGTAGCAAAAAATACGAACCTAAATGCATTTTGTTTGACGGTTCGCTGCCAAAGATACATTAGAAGAACAAATGAAATAACTTTCGCATAAGCAGCGAAATTTTCACAACATCCAAATAATGGCGTTTGGAGGCTCATGCTACAAGTATCCAGTAGAGTATCCCACTTATTTTCGTTTATTAGGTGCGTCACACAGTGAAACAGTATTACTTACTAGAATTACAATCCACCACGATGACTAAGTTTTACTTAATTAATGAAACTTATGGTCAACCTGTTGGAAGACTAATCAACAAACACCCGACTTTCACAGACAGAAGCTAAGTTCCCAAATCATCGTAAAGGCAATATTCGATGCCTTAGAAATTATATCACTCCAAAATATCTACGTCTACATATTCCAATACCAACAGACAAAATTAAAGCAGCAATACACCTTGTCATTAAACTCTGTCTAAACCAAGGAATTCATAGGATAGCAAAAACATTGTATAATACCCGGAGTTATATTGAAAAAATAAAGATGCAAGCTAATGCAAAAAGTTAGTGGAAAACAATGTGAACTTCTGATCAACAACTTTAATAGAGCAAGATCAGTTGTCTTCAAAATATCCGAAAACACTTTAATTAAGAAGTTCAACAAACTAAAAGAAGAAAAGTATAAAGTCGATAATGATAAGATTACTAACATCACACCAAAAACTATCCATAAATCAAAGTGGGTTGTCAATCTCCTAACTAGAGGTTTAAGCTCAAGTAGGAGTAAAGATGCTTGAGAAGGACCTTATCTTCAATGCAGTGGATAATGAATTGAAACCTGAAAATTTCATTCCTAAAATAGAAAAAGCACTAAGTTCAGTAGACAGGACAGTTGTAGATGAGATATGAGCACATTGAACAGTAAAAGTAAAACGATAGAAACAATATAAACCAAATTTATTACAACCAAACTCAAAAGCCTTGAAGAACTTCTGGAATAACAACAATATAATGACTAACAAAGAACATAAGTGTTACTCAACGGTTATGTTGGATAAATATGATCACATTCGAAAAGTCAATGAACTTATAGAAACAGAACTATAAGAAGAAATTAGGAAACCAGTGGATATTTTTGTGAATACGGTTGAGAAATTCAAAGAGAATCTACAACGCCAAATGAAGCCATTTCTTGATGAGTCGAAATGGTTTAATTTAGTGTCGTAAACTAATAATCTCAGTAAAAGTTGTAGTGATATTAAAATTTATAAGTCAGATTATCCCATCAGATCCACAAAAGATTTAAGAAACGCTACAAATTATGCATTGTTTAGATATTAAGAGGTTGTATTAGGATCAATTAAAAATCGTTCAAAATTCCGATGACCTAAGGTAAAAATTTATTCAGTCAATGTCAACATGGGACTTGGCATCACTTGGTAATGGCCCAAGTTGCCACACATCAATGTATCAAGTGAGAGGTCACTAAGATGAAACATAGAGTAATAACAAACAGTAGTCAAAGTGGTAGGAAACCATGAGAAGAGAATAAAAAAGAATGAGGAAATAATGAAACTTGGTATGACCATTAAGATGAAGATAATGTACGGGAACACTTGTGCCACTGAAATTGATTCTGAGTTGCATCAACTAGTTATAAATCGCCGATTTCGTCTGTCATGCAAAACCTTAACCCCAACAAGTTTTACAAGTTAAAAGATCTTATTACTTCAGTTCGATAAAATAACTTAGTTTACCAAAGCCCTATCAATAATTACGAAGTCAAACAAGAAGGTCAAAGTAGTGGACCAAGGTTAATTAAACCATCCAAGCAAAAAGCGTAGCTACATCAAGATTGACAGACCCTTATAAGTCATCTAAAAGACTCAGCTACAGCTATGTATACGACTGCACATAACTACAATACACAGCAAAAGTAATAAAACTAACTTAATACAACAGGAGAACTAGAGTATTATGCTAGTGTATACTTCCACGCTATTCATCTTGTTGAATATTTTACATAGAGAAACAGTACCATTTGCTGGATGATGTTGCAAACAGAATTTGTGGTTCACACTTATATCAGAGGTAACTCTGCATCTCTCACACTTTTTATAGTTCTATTTCTCCTCCCTCATTTGTCATATGAGTAGTAGAATTTTCCAAACATCTGTAATAACTGTTGAGTCGTTCCTATTGCATGTGTTTGATGTTGCTTCAGTTAGGAGTGCCACTTCGTCCTATTTTATTGTGTGATCATGTATGATCGCATGCATCCTAATGGCTGGGTTTGTCTCTAGATTTCCTACCCAACTAATGTTCGTCATTCTAGATTTGGTTAAGCCTTTGTGCTGACCACACTCAGAATAACTCAGAGTATAATAAAAATGAAAGTTGTTATCAGATCACCATTATCTCCAATAGTGGCAAACATATTTATGGGACAATTTTCCATGCTCCTAAAAAATGTTGGAGATACGTCGATGAAACCTTAACGGTGTTGACATCGGAGCATATCAACAAATGTTTTACACATGAATTCAATTTTAGATGCAGTCCAGTTTACTTATGCATTAGAGAGTGATGAAGGAAAACTACCTACGCTAGACTGCAGGATAATAAAGAAGATAAGCTGGGTGCTCAGATGCTGGTGTCCACAAAAAACCTACGCATTCGAATTAATACTTGGCCTTCAGGTCATCTCATCCCATGTCAGTCCCGATTGATAGCTGTTACCTTAACGCAGTGGTCGGGCTTTTGTACCACAATGACTCGGCGGGCTACATTTGCTGGAATAGTTGTTCCCTCGAAGTACTTCTACGCCAGAAAGGTCTGTCAGATAATAGTTAGACAAAGAGCAGTTACCGTTATAGCGTAAACTGTTACGCTATGATGGGGTCGGAGGGTAAAACTGTACTGCTGGCTGCACTGAAGTGAGACAGCAGTAAGGTGTTCGGTCCGTATGACCAGCAGTACCACCCTGATGCTCCCTTTTCTGTGGTAAGGGGATTTAGGAAAGATCGGCCCCGATAGTACCACCCCCCACACTCTCACGCCGATACCGGTGACATGGGTTTATGGTCGGATTCGGAAGCAACAAACTAAAATCTCAAACTTGCAAAAGAGCTGTGTGACCGGCCTCAAGAAGATGTCCCATGGGCTCTGCGGTCACGCATTGACCCTTCTTTTTCAAGTGCCTCGATAAGAAATAGCCTTCCACGGTGTGGGGAGCCAGGAAGTGTCAACCACCCTCACAACTATGATAGCGCTCAAGTTCCATCAGACCACCGCATACCTTCCATATCCTTCTAATCTTCCTTCGAGCCTCTCGGTCAGTATTCTTACACTATTTTTAACTTCTTCCAGCTCTGCAGCTCTTGACAACGATCTGAGTTCATAGGATAGCACACTCGGTTTCCTGACACGGCATATTGGAGCTTTCAATGTCCGGACCCTCCGTCAAATTGGCCAACAAGTTTCACTAGCTAAAACTCTAGCACCTTAGGCCATAGATGTGTGCTGTCTTTTTGAGACATGCATACAAGACCCAAGCGCGGTCATTTACTTAACCTTACCGGCCATCATCGCGAATCCACAAAATTTACCCTTTAAGTTTCTAAAGATTTGATGGTCAATTCACGCAGTCTTGAACATGTAGGTATAGCATTGAGCACTAAGGCAGAAAGTGCACTACTCGACTGGATCTCATTTCACGGTCACTTATGCGCTGTTCGACCGAACGACACAATGAAAACTAAAAAGAATGGTGAGACTTGCAGTTGTCTGTTTGTAATCTGTGCTTACACACCCACTGACTACAGTTCTGATGAAGTGATTTTCGCCAAAAGCTATCTAGCCTCCTACAGAAAGTCAAACGTTCTAATATGGCTGTTGCTTCAGTTGGATCCAATCCAAAAGTGGGTAGACCAAGTTCAAAAGAAAGGCATTTAGGTGGCACTTTCGGAATCCTAACCAGACAAATAAACAGATAACGGCGATCGCTTACTACAACTGTGTTGATATAACCATTTTCTATCCAGCACAACCTTCAAACATGAAGAGAGATATTATCTGACGTGGTTTTCACAGACTTCAACTCAGAGGTGAAAACAGAGACCACATCGTTAGCAGTTATCGATGAAGAGGTTTGGTGGAAGACTGTCGCTTCTTCTGTAGCACGTTTGGAGAACGACCACGTGTTGGTTCGAGTGCATGTATTTCTGCGTCTCAAAGGAAGTAGGAGAACTTTAGCAACAAGACCATTTCCAGTGTCGCTAGATACCAAGAGCACTTACGTTGCTTCAATGAGAAACTGACTAGATAGTTATCAAAATAGAACGTCTCTCATTCGGAAGCCTGGCACTATATCCAGTCTGCTGTAAAAACCGTGTTGAAGATAACCGACTCAGAGAGTAGTTAAAAAAGAACTAAGCAACTTTTGAATTAATGGATGCACGTGAAAGCACCCCTTCAGGCTCAGGACATAATGAGCGGAGACAACTCAAATGTAATATAATTGTAAAATTGAGGCACTATGGTAGAATTTAATTCCATATTAGCTTAGTTTATTTGATATAGCATACAGTGAAACAGTATTATTTCCCGGAAGACATTTCAAGCGTAAATTATTGCCCATAATCATATCAATGTAATCATACAACTTTCGACATTTGAATTTTATAGTCCTATATTCTTTTTTTTATTGGTGGTAAAATTTCCCATAACTTTGGTATAGATGTCATCAAAATGAACGCAATCTGTTAGCTGTTGCAACTGAACATAAACCACAGGCCTTTGTACTAGATTTCTTGATACAACTGATTTTTCCCATAGTCCAAATTACAAATAAAAAGCACCAAAACCACTGAATCTCAATGCTTACATAGTTAATATTCCAGTGAAGGGTGAAGAGACTTCAGTCGAGTTAAAAAAGATATCCAACCAATCTAGGAAGTCATTGCTGGGAATTCAAAGCATGCAGACAACTATGGTATCTCTGATTACCACCTATGGAACGGATAAGATCAAGACCTAGAGTAATGTATACCAAGAAAGATCCCCTACTCGTCTTTAACTGAATCCTGAACAAATCACTAAATACCTTACACTTCTTGCAACACCTTGTTCTCACCTATTCTTCTCCTTTCTCATACTGTTGATTTACCCTCGTTCAGTCACTATAAAATGTTGAAACTTGGAACGATTTATCATTATAATAGGTTTTAAATACACCAACAACAGGATCAAGCATTAGTACATAACAATAAAAATTTCTACAATTCACTTCAAGATATCGAGGTGGGAATGACAAAGCGGACACCTGGAACACTAAGTCCTGTTTATAAGTTTTTGAAAAACAATACGACAATTTATCTGGAATTTTTCTGGGTAGCGAAAATCAATAAAACGAAAAATAGAAATTAAGAGAGCAGAAATGTGTGGAATCTCGACCTAGATGGAGACCAAAAACACCAGATTCCACCTTGTTCATGCTTAACTGACGGATCGAATCATCATACTGGTTAACCGAAGTTATGTGAACAACCTTAATTGAGTTTTTTGAGACATGAGAGCCAGACATAATGCTGGAGAGTAAATACTTGGTCGGTAATGTTTGCTGCATGGCTTTAGATAGACTTCGGAAGTACAAAGAAACAATTATGAAAGCAACAGCATGGAACACAGAAGCAAAGCCCTAACGAACGGATAGCAATGCCTGCCATGACACTGGAAAGTTTACCAACTGAAACCCCAGCTCAGAAAACAACTCACCCAGAAGGGACATAATAGCAAAATGGAAAGTTGCATTGCTGCATAACATTCTAAGTTATCATACTTCATACTAGCACATCAAGAAAAAGGAAACCAAGGCAGAAGACGAAGAAGTAAAGAAGAAACTACTTTTACTCTGTAGACAGAAAAATATGCTTTATTCCGACACTGAGAAATATATCGGGGTTACTCTTGGTGACGCACTTGGAGTTTTCGCTTATTGTCGCCTTACAGAGAAAATTTATAGATTCTTAAAGCCTTTTTAAATTTCAATAGTATTAAATCATAGGCTATCCACAACAATGTGTCGACTAGATACATGTTCGTACCAGATGAATTCGCCTATGCTCCTACACTTGAATAAGGGTATTGCTTACGTGGGATGTGTTTACAGAAAGGCAACAATGGTGGGCGGGTTGACATAAAAACTCCTCGACCGCTGAGATTGTGTTGGGCTGTGACTAGTAAAATACATGTTATATCCCCTACTTTATAAGGTATTCAGGGTTAAGAGAAAACATTCCACCGACTCCATACTTGAGCCAAAAAAACTTGGAATAGATTGCTTCTCTGGAATCAGATGATAGCTCAAGCTCTTACAGCATTGCATGATGGCAACCATCTAACAAATCCATGTAGAGGCCTGAACAAGTCCAAGATTTAGGACTTGTCGGATCTTAAGATCAGACAGGTGATCATAGTAGAATTGGGATAACTTGTCTGCCACTATAAGAACCCCAGAAGGAACAAAAAAGCATTCAGACTTGCCTTCTTATCATTGCAAGAAATGACGAAGAACCTTGCATCCTTGAATATACTAGGTTCCATAGGAAACGCCAAGTTTATCTACAGCGCCAATCTCATCACCCAAATAACGCGCACTAACATGTTCTGTCCTCAGTTCCAAATGCTCCAAAAGTCGTAGGGAAACTGAAGTATATGATATCATTTGTGGTGGTTTCAATGGATACTGTGGTTTGCACACTACTGATACATAAATATCCTTTTCCAAAGGCATTCTGGTTGTGGGCACAGAATGTTCGGATAACAGATAGTTTCGTTGACTATTGTATATTAGTATCTCTATCATTTTCGAGTGTGTGGATGAAAAAGCCACAGGCCTGTATTTCGTTGAGTTGCTTCGTTCATCGCCCTTGAATGGAGGTTTGATATTACTTAACTTCTAAATTTAGGTACTATACCTTGGTTAGGGGAATGTGTGAACTACCTGCTATAGGTTCAGGTTGCTTCATGAAGAACAGTTGTGTGAATTTTATCCGATCCTGGATACTTGTCCTTCTTAATATCACCAGCTTACGATGCATCCGATTAACACACTGGTCAACGGTTTGTTAGCGTGCATTTTCTTCAGAACCCCAATGAAGATTTACAAATGCAGTCTATGATGAGAGGAATCGTAAATATATACCAACCAAGACATCTTTGGCCTCGAAATCGCTACTGGTCGACCACTGAGTCTTATTAGATGATAAAATCCCGGCTTCGCTTCAGAGAATAATAATGTACACTGGAGAAGACTTGAAGAACCTCATACAAACGTGTTGGTGATTGGGAATTGATACTGATGCTCATCATCTCTCAAGACCCTGGTGCAAAGCTTTCTGGTTTGCCTGAAGTGTTTCTAGGTGAATCCATAGGCGTTTTCTTGTGCACATCCCAGCAGAGTCTTTTTGAGCCTGTGTTGGCACATTACAATGAGTTATTCCGGACGTACTGGAGAAGAAAGTGGGACATGTTGACTTTCGAAATGCGTGATTTTGTCGTGCATGAACATCCAACGCCCATCTATATCTGGCTAATGATGTTTAATTCCCAGGTCTGTTCGCTCCATAGCCTTCCAAATGGGCCAAGATGCCAAGTCGCCTGGAGCTTCCGTGATACTGGTTTGCAGGGCGAGTGAGCTCTGTCTTACAGACATCCTGAAGCCTGATAGCAACACGATCACCTTTGTCGGGCGACGAAAAAACTGTCAGGCTATCCACCAAAAAGTTCTTGGGTGTTAAAGGGCAGTCCAAACGAGAATGGATTCGAGCTGCTGACTTCACGATTCTGGCTAATCCGAGTTCTCCAAGAAGATGAAAGAATCGAGGACTGATGGAATCATTGCTTCCACTGTATACGTGGTCTGCAAAATCAACTTTAGGATAGATGAAATTATTCTAAGTCGCGTTGCGTCCGGCCTAGTTTGAGATCAGGGCCAATGACTTCAAACACGCCAATAAGGTAATGTCGAACTTCAGTTGGTTCTGTATATATGGTCTCAACTGGGCACAGTGTCATCCTAAATGCTCTACTGGCACGCTACACTGATTCCGCTGAGCGGTCGAATTTTGTGTTGTAGACTTGAAAAGCCCTGAGAGAAGAAGTAATACAGAAAGTCACCCCGCGGCCTCTTCTGAAAGTCTTATCGTCAAAACAGTAATTCCCCCATTCAGAACTTGAGAAGAGGCCCATATCCTGGTAACGTAAATAAAATAAGCAATTCAGTCCCCTTAACGCATTGGTTCTATAAGGTAGGCTTGATGAATTTGTGTAGATGCAGTGAATGATCTTTAGTAAGAACGTGGTTGTTGGCGCTTTCATAGTATTCGATGTGCTGTGTGAAAGATAAAGTTCATGGGATGGAAGTTGGTGCCAATTGCGAACCACTGTCGTGCAAGTGCCCTCCCCGCTCCTGACTTCTGTCTGTGGGTTACCCCCAACTGAGTATTTGGTTCCGTTCGTTCCACTTCCTGTGGAGCTGTTTACTTTACCGGTGATCTGGATTCATACGAAATCCAACTTGCGAATGATGTTTGCTGACTTGGAATGCTTCCAGCATTGATACCACCACAGAGGAAGCTGAGAACACTAACTTGATTAACCTGAGACTAGAATCAACCTCCTCTTACTCATAAGTAATGGTTTCTGTGCGATTGCCCCGTAGAATTCATGCATACAAATCTCCACTCCCAGTTGTGGAGGCGAGAAACTAGTGGCTCTACTCCTCCTGAAACCCCTCAAATTATAAGGTTTCTCCTCCGCAGATAGGCCTCTTAACCTTCAGCCATGAACATGAGGCGGCAAATAATTCTCGGAATCAAAACCAGACAGTTGCACGAGGCTTAGCGGTGATGGAAACTTCAATAGCTTCAACGCACCTGTTGATACGGAAAAATATGATCAAGAATCCATGCCGACTGGCGCGTCGTCATTTTACTTTGCAGTGCCAATAAACGATTCACTAGAGAGTTACTTCAGGCATGCTTACATGTTGGCATGGCTCATTAGTTGCGTTATTTTGTTCTTCCTTGGCCTCGCACTCCTGGTACGGAGAGTTATTGGTTGGCTTCTGTACCTTTCAAAATTGTATGGGGACAATTTTCTAGAAGCTCTTTGTGCTCCAAGCATTCCGAATATGACATGTCACCGGATTTCATAGCCTTCCTTTGTCATCCAGTGGGTGAGACGTTGACATTGCGTACCCAGAGCTGGGGAACGTTATTCTTGCCGGCCTTATTTTCCTGAGTGGCCTTAGTTTGAACTACAGGATAGTCTTGCCTCTGCCTTAGGTTAAGTTGTCCCGAGCATCAACTGGCAACAAACGCTGTTGCATAGCACCCAGGCATTCCTGTCCTGAAGGTTATGTGGGAACTTTGGACAGTCCGCTACGTTCGTGAGGAACATAGTGTTACCACAGGCAGAAATGTGATCCCTCGCCCCCCGATGAAGATTAGTTAACCGATGGGTGCATTTGAACCCCTCACCTATGAACTTCCCCGGAATTATAGACTTCAGCCACTTATTTACCAAGTTTTAGAATTACTCCTGATTCCTGCCTATGCACCGATACCTTGTGTTTAACCATATTAGTCCCTCGCCTATCAGGCTTGGATATGGAGTGTGCTGGTTTCAAGTCTCTCAAGGCTATTGATTCTATAAGCCCGAATGGGGCAAAAGTCGAATACAGTTCATCTGACCTACAACTATTCAGTGTTTTTGGTAGCCTTTCCAGGTATAACTGTCACATCTAAGACTTTACTACGCCGGAGAATATTGTTGAAGGATCCCAGGAGTGAGGAACAGAGAAGTGTTCAGGTGTACCATGTCCCTAGATTTACCGTTCATTTGGCACAGACCAGCTGCCCTTGTGATCTTTATGTCTGCTGACGACCAGCGAATTCAACTTCCTGTCAGCTATACAATTTTTCTGCTTTTCCGCTGGCCTTCCTTCACTCACCCAGCAACTTCTTTGACGTCCACCAGCACACAGATGGCGTTTCTAAGGGAGTCCACCAATCTCAATCTACGCAGTCAACAAAGACATTTACCCTCGGGTTTTTTGAAGTTGAGGTTTTCTGCTAATGTTTTATCTGTTAATAAAAAGTTGTGTCAGTCATCAAAAGTGTTAAATTGCATGCCATCTGGTGGGGAAAAGTTATAGCTCCCCATGGCACAAATATTCTTATCATACCAACCGCTGACTATTTTCTGAAAAGATCCGTAAAACGGAATGAAGGTCTGAAAACAACTACACAAAAACAATGGAAACACTGAGAGCTTCTGAACAGTTGTGGAGCCGGTTTCAAAATACCACAGAGAACGTAGTGCGGTGGAGACGTGCTGGTGAAGCCTAAGTTCCACCAGGAACCCAAGTAACAAATAATAATGATAATAATACATTAGACTACCACTCATGATCTGTAAAACGATAGCAGGCTCCGTGACTACAGCCCATCTGCTTCACAGGGCCATTGGTGTGCTTTCAACATTCTCTTGAAAGCATCAAAAGATTACGTGGCAACTTCCTTCGGGGAGTCCCACCACCTATACACCCCAGCTGCGAAGGAGTTAGCACGAATCACTGAACTGCCTATCTCATTTTCCTATCTGAAAGAAAGACCTCGAAGGGGGTGTTTTTGATTAAGGCTAAAAAGCGATTTGTTAGGATGAAGGGGACTACGAGTGATATGGTGGATCATGACCGAAATCCCTGTGATCCTTCAGTATCGCTTTGAGTGTAGGTTAAGGGTAACCAAGCGAACCAGACATGTTTCGTGCTATAGCCCAATAACTTTTTCCGCAGTTCTTCTATGAGCCCGTTCCAGGATAGCAAAGTCCTTCCTCAAGCCTAGGAATAAGACTAGCGAGCATACTGTGGATAAACACGGGTACGTAACCCGTCCATTGTAGTGAAAATGGTCGGCGTTTGGGAAAGATGCCCCGGGACTCCAGTTGCGTTGCTGACTGCAGGACCACGCCTAGTGGAATCACGAAGTGCATCACTTAGGGCAGCCAGTCGATCTTCACCAATTTCTGTGTGAGGGACATTTGCTTCCCTTTGGAAGTAAGGTCTGGGATTACGCTTGTGTTTACCCATGGTTGCTATCCTAAACTTCATGTCGTTAAGGAGCAGGTGCTCCCCTGACCAGCCTGTGATTTTAGAAGGATCTTCCAGGAGTGCCAAGATATCCGGTGAACCGTATGCCTTCTTCCAAGACTTCAGAACGTCAGCATTTGGTTAGGAATCAGAATCGAGTGTTGCTGGTGAGACATTTATGGGAACAAGAAACTGTGATGGGCTGAGACTAGAGTCCTGAAGCATCCCACCAATCGACGGAAACCAAACAGATAAGAAGGAGTCAAAGATAACAGGTTGCAGTCGCATACCAGGACTATTCCCGAAAAAAGTAGGCAACTTTGCTCATACTCCCGTAAGCGGAAGCTTTTTGCACACAATATCATGATTAACCCTAGCGACGCCTTTAGAACTATCAAGTAACCCCACATGAATGAACTTTTAACGCTCAACGGAAAAGTTCGGCTAT